ACAGCTTGAGACTCTGTCTCCCCATCTCTACTAAAAATAGAAAAATTAGCTGGGTGTTGGTGTGGGGGAGGGGGCACCTATAGTCCCAGCTACTTGGGAGGCTGAGGCAAGAGGGTTACTCAAGCCCAAGAGTTTGAGGTTGCTGTGAGCTGTGACACGTGGCACTCTACCTGGAGCAGAGTGAAATTCTGTCCCTCCCAAAACAGAAAAAATTTAGCTGACCTAAGGAAGTGGGCAATATAGGGAGGTGGTCAACTATGGAGGTTCTACTGTATTTTCTGGAGGAAGAACTGAGGACCTAAGGGGACATCAACTGCCATAACCACATTGAGGACAAACATTGCACAAGGGGATTCATGTCACAACTGTGAGGATCTGTGTGTTTATTACAATCCCTTTGCAGCAGATGACAATAGTGTCTTGTGCCAGCAGAGAAGGTCCCTCATGCCAACACTCTTAACACAGAAGCCAAGAGTGTTGACAGGGCCACTTTTTTCACTATCAAGACTCCTATGGGCTAATGGTAGCCCTGGTGGAAGAGACGAAGCCAGGATTTGAACCCAGGAGTGGCTGCCTCTAGGGCTAAAAAAGCTAGCTTCCAAGGACCCTGCTATAGCCTGGAGAAATGTTCTTGTTCTGCAGGGCCGTCCCTTCCAGCAGTCACTTCTTCTTCTGTACATGGCCACAGTCATATTTGCCACGCACAACAGTGAGCTTGACACCTGGCAGGTCCTGGGTGCGGCCACCCTGCACAAGGACAACATGGTGCTCCTGCAGGGTGTGGCCCTCCCCTGGGATAAAGCAGACAGCCTCTCGGCCTGTGCTGAGCCGCACACGGCAGCACTTGCGGTTGGCAGAGTTAGGCTTCTTGGGCTTGCGGATGAAGGTGCGCAGAACCACACCCTTCAGCTGCGGCCGGCCCTCTGTGGGGCCCAGATGACGTGGTGGCTGCTTTGGACGCCCCAAGCGATGCATCTGGTTCAGGGTAGCCATAAAGCGGGTGGCCCAGAGCTGGCAACCCTGGGGTAGGCCTGGAGAGATAAAACCAGGAGGGCAAAAGGAAGTTATTATACCACCCAGCAAACAGGTAATAGTATTACCAAGTCAATTTCAGTGTCCTGGGCACTGTTCCAAGCACTTGATAAGGATCCATCTGAAAACTGGGCGCAGTGACTCACG